AGATTGGGCTGGGGTCAGCTCACGCTGGGCAGCGCACTCCCGGGCGGAGGAAGGTAGCCGGTGGTCTTCCATGGCCACACGAGCACGCGCCCGGTGGTTAATGATGCATGCTCAAGACAAGTATGCTTCTGTAGACCATCAGAATAGTAAACGCCGGGTACGTTGCAGGTATAAAATATGGAGGATAATCCGTCACGCAGGCTCATCTCGACTCCAAATCAGAATGTGATCCATCCCAGCCATGAACATCATAACTTTAGTCTTAGCCACGAGGTGAAACTCCAAAGCCCTAAATCATGTAAATGAGCCCCGCTCATTCGTATACGTCGACCACGGCTACACTTTGAGCGCCTCAGTCTTGCAGCAGGTCTCGAGACGGGGTCGGGGTTTGAGTCGTGTGGAAGGGGGCGGGGGAAGGGGGCTCAATTGTCGAAGTTATATTGGGGCTGTTGTTGGAGCCCGCCTGGGTATTGGTGTCCAGGTTTGAGTCAGGCTCTAGGTGTCGGGGTCGGATCGAGGTCGCGGTCGGGTCGGATCGAGGTCGCGGTCGGGTCGGATCGAGGTCGCGGTCAGGTCGTATCGAGGTCGCGGTCGGGTCGGATAGGGGTCGAGGTCGGTGTCGGATCGAGGTCGCAGTCGGGGTCGAGGTCGGTGTCTGATCGGGGTCGAGGTTGCGTCGGATCAGGGTCAAGATCGGTGTCTGATCGGGCCGAGGTCGGGGTCAGATCGGGGTCGAGGTTGCGTCGGATCAGGGTCGAGGTCGGTGTCGGATCGGGGTCGAGGTCGAGTCGAGGTCGAGCCGTGGTCGGGTCGGGTCGAGGTCGAGCCGTGGGCGGGTCGGGTCGGGTCGGCGTAGAACTCGGTCGGTATAGAGCTCGGGGACGGGGTACAGCTCGGGCCGGGGTCGGGGCCGGGTTCGAGGTCAAGCTCCGGATCAGGGTGTCTCGGTCGGGTCTGGGCATCAGTAAGATCGCCGCAGGCTCGGGTCGGGGTCGAGGTCGGCTCTCTGGGCGCCAGCCCGCCCAGGGTGTCAGGTCAGCGCAGGATCGGGTCGGGGTCGAGGTCGGCTCTCTGGGCGCCAGCCCGCCCAGGGTGTCAGGTCGGCGCAGGGTCGGGTCGGGGTCGAGGTCGGCTCTCTGGGCGCCAGCCCGCCCAGGGTGTCAGGTCGGCGCAGGGTCGGGTCGAGCGTCACCTTCCGCTGCAGGTCGGCGCCCAGCGTCTGTGATCGCTGCGTCTGCTCGGCCAGCGTAGCGTTCAGCTGGCCCAGCCGCTGGTCCAGCTCAGAGCGCTGGTCACGCGCCGCCTGCAGCTCCGATGTCAGCTGCTGGCCGCGCCGCTCCTGCGCGTCCCGCGCCGCCGTCGCCGCCGCCTCCAGCCGCGAGCACTCGTCCGTCTGTCGCCGAGGGTGACCGGGCGGTGAGGCCGGGCGACGGCCACTCGCAAAACGGCACACACCGCGATAGGCAGCGCTGGTGCGGGAGTTAACGGGACGCCCAACAGGACGACGAACACCGACGGACACACGACTAAATAATGCCCCACGCGCATGGAAGCGCGCAAAATACATTTTACGTTGTGCGTCCATTAGACAGTGCCCAGTGCCAGGTGCCAGGTACTCTGAGTTCCAGCAGTGCCCCAGGCAGTCGGTACACTTCGTGACCCCAGCGGTGCCTCCGTGTTGGTAAGCCCCCTGAGCCCCGCGGTATCCCCAGGGTCAGTGCCCACCGCCCCCTCCCCCCTCTCCCCGAAGCAGTGCCTCAACACCAATGGCGCCCGTGGCTGGCAGCGGCGAGGCAGCGTCGGCCGCACCTTCTCGCGAAGCCGCCGCTCCGCCTCCTTCAGTCCGGTGTCGGCCGTCACCAGCCGGTCCTGGGCGGCCGTCAGTTCAGCCTGCAGCCTGTCAGCCGCCTGGCGCCGCTCCTGCAGGTCGCCCTGCGCCTTGGTCAGCTGCTGGTGCACCGCCTCCAGCCGGGCCGCCAGCTCGTCCGCCTGCTGGCCCAGCTGCTGGCGCTGCTGGCTCACCGCCTGCTGCAGGCTGGCCTGGGGCGGACGGCCCGGCGGACGGTCAGCGGCGGCCGTGACACACACGCCGGCGGGGAGAACACACATACACCGTGACGGCGACAGGGGAACAAACTGTGGGCTGACGCCGGGTGGCGCGAATGTCGATCGGTGAGAGAGGAGCAAGCTGAAAGAGAGGGGGTCGTTCACTGTCTTCTGCTCGTCACTGCCACGACAAACTTATCGTTCTGTACCCGTCCGAGAGCCTCATTGAGTGAGCGGCTGCAGTGTGCGATGCGACCCATCACGCCAGCATCGAGAGGGTCTGGCGTCCGACCGCACGCACAGGCCCGTCCTGCCGGGGGTCCGGCGCCCCCCCCACCCCCGAGGCGGCCAGCATCGAGAGGTCTGGCGGTCAGCCTGCGCACCAGGCCCGTCCGCCGAGGGTCGTCCCCCCCCCCCCCTCCAAGGCGGCCAGCATCGAGGGGTCTGGCGTCAGACCGCACACACACGCCCGTCCGCCGGGGACCGGCCGCCGTGCCCGGGTCGGCCGGGCGGCTCTCTCACGTTCTGCTGCTCCAGCTGGCGGAGGGCGGTGGCCGCCGCGCCATCGCCGGCCTCGATCTGGGAGCGCAGCTCCGTCCGCTCCCCCTCGAGCCGCGCCACCTCGGCTTGCGCGGCCGCCACCTCCGCCTGCGCCGCCGTTAGCTTGCCGTCCCTGCGGCGGCGGCCAAGGCTCAGACCACTCTCCCCGGGAGGCAGCGCAGGGGCAGCGGAACAAATTACGGGAAGGCGCCGGAGCGGCGCGGTGAATGTAGACGGATGAGAAAATGAGCACGATGCAAAGGAGCAATCGTGCACTTTTGTTCATGGAGACGGCTCTGACCGCACCGCCGCCATCTTAGCAATCGCTCCGGCGGGGGAACGGGCAGGACGACGCCGCTAAGTTCTTGTATCCCGGAAAACCCAGGTGGTCATAGTGCACTACACGTATGCCAGCACTCGAAACGGTTACGGTTTCCACTGCGCACGATTCTACCAAACAATATCCGAAAACGATACTTTCGATGTCGAAACAAATTACAACCATAAACAGAAATAAATTAAAAAAATAAAAACACGCATACTCGAAACCAAAATCATTAATATGATATAAACGCAACCCAATCATCATCGATAACTCGAACAAACATGCTACTTCTGATGTTCTTATCATCACCGATCAAACAATGCAAGGTCATGGGCCCCAAAATCGAGATCTTGGAACCCAAGGGCGTGCCTAGCGGAGAGCCCTGTTTTGCGTTGCGTTTTACATCACCCAGAATTCAAAAGCGGAACGTATAGGCCGATGTCCAGGGTAATATTATATTCAGGCCCAGTTGCATTCAGCATTCAATCAGTAAATAATCCGCTATTGCAAATCATCATATTCGGCGCGCGCTCAGGCTCTGGACGGCTACAAACACCCTGCATTTGAGCCACAATGCCCTGCATGCCGCCAAGCTCCCCTGCGGAGATACGTGACTGCCCCCCAACCTGTCACCGAACCCCACGCACAACCTGACACACGGGCATGGCTCCGACCCGTCCGCTACCGGTGCTCGGCCGGCGGCCGCCCCTCGGCGCCGGCTGGACGCCCACCTGTTGTCCAGCTGGCGCGTGGCCTCCTGCAGCCGCTCGTCCTTGTCACGCAGCGCCGTCCGGAGCTCGTCCAGGCTGCCGGCCGTGTCCCGCTGCTGGCCGCGCAGCGTGTCCAGCTGGGAGGCGCAGGTGCTCCGACTCTGACTCCAGCTCCTGCGCCGGGAGTGACGTGGACGAGTTAGGGCATCACAAGGGGTCTGGAGAGTCAGAGCACTCACACAGGGGTCCGACTCCGACTCCAGCTTCTGCGCCGGGGGGTGACGCGGGAGAGTTAGAGCATCACACAGGGGTCCGACTCCGACTCCAGTTCCTGCGGCCGGAAGTGACGCGGGAAAGTCAGAGCATCACACAGGGGTCCGACTCCGACTCCAGCTCCTGCGCCGGGAATGACGCGGGGGAGTCAGAGCATCACACACGGGTCCGACTCCGACTCCAGCTCCTGCGCCGGGAGTGACGCGGGCGAGTCAGAGCATCACACACGGGTCCGACTCCGACTCCAGCTCCTGCGCCGGGAGTGACGCGGGCGAGTCAGAGCATCACACGGGGTCCGACTCCGACTCCAGCTCCTGCGCCGGGAGTGACGTGGAAGAGCCAGAACATCACACAGGGGTCTGACTCCGACACCAGCTCTCGCGTCGGGAGTGACGCGGGGCGAGTCAGAGCATCACACGGGGGTCCGACTCCGACTCTCACTTCTACCTAGATGGGCGCCAGGAGGGAGTTGTGTTGGGTTTTGTGCCCTAAACCGGCGATACGATTAGCTGTACTGGACTAGGAATATAAACCCCGCCATATTCCGTGTCATTTGGTCAGAAAGCGTTTTTCAAGGTTGTGCGAAAACCTTCACTCCAAATAATGCAGGTGATCATCGGTCGGTCGGCCTGCAGACCCACTCGTACTCACATGCTGACACTGACATAGCATTACTGAGAATACACGGACAACTGAGGAACTTCCAACAGAATAGCACCGGCGATGTACAGAAGTCACTTACGAAACTCGACGCTGATATGTTGTAAAAGCATTGCACGACGCATAAGCAAATGCGTGTTCTCGACCAGCCGGCCAACCCCCGACCCCGCAGATCGCCCCACCGACCGACCCTCGACCCAACAGACCAACCCGTCGGCCGACCCTCGACACCCAGCAGACCGACCCGCCAGCCGAACCTCACCTGGAGCCTGCCCTGCGGCCGTCGGCGTCCGAGCGGGCGGCGCCGGCCTCCTCGCGCAGCTGGAGAGTCTCGGCGCGCGCCGCCGCCAGCTCCGACTCCAGCGAGCCAGCCGCGTCTCGCGCCGACCGCAGCTGGAACACGGCACACCGGCGTGACGGCTCAGGCGGAGGGCCGCCGGCCCGCCGCATCCGCAGAGGGCAGAGGACGGGGCGGGTTCGGCTGTGGTTACTGGTGACGAACGGCAGGCAAGCACGGAACACTGGCCAGCTCGTCAGACGCCTGGGACGTGCCCGCCGTCATCCATCGTCTCCACTGCCCGACATAACCAAGGTCACCTATTTACGTCCACAACACGACACCTTCCCCACGCCCGTCTGATGAGGTCTATCAACAGGCTATGACGTCATTTCTCCCTCCACTCGATGGCGTCGTTCTTGGCCCCGCCTTATATGCCCTGCAGACCCACCCGTGACGTCACCCCTCCTCGGTACGGTGACGTCATGACGCGACCGACATGTCGGTGACCCCTCGCCCCAGCCGAGCGTCACCCTGCTGACGGCGCGTCCCGCGGGTGGGCCCGTGACGTCACCTCCGTCTCCAGCTGGTGCCGCTGCCGCTCTGTGTCTGTCAGCTGGGTCTGGCAGCTGCTCAGCTGGTCCGTGGCGGCGTCCAGGGAGCTCATCGTCTGGTCCAGCCGCGACTGCAGCGTCTCACTCTTCAGCTTCAGCTGCGATGTCAGCCTGGCAGCGGGGCGACACACGTTGCGGCGAGATGGCCTAAGGTGCTGTACAGCCAGGTATGCGACGGAGACACAGTGCCTCAGTGTTGTTCGTGTAACATGTGTAAACGCATTCAATATTTCACATGATAAGTCATGCGAAAATCTTAAAGGTGCTTCCACTTAAATTTGAACGATTCGCGACGCAATACATAAAAGACGTACTGTCGTGCCGACTTCGTTGAGTCTAAAAATCATCCCTTAGCTTAAACGGTTGGCATGAATCTTGGGCCCACACTTAAACTGATACTGGTGCACAGCTCTAGCATCGTCGTCGTCGCAAGATGGTCCGCCTGCCGCTCGACATGGCTGAGCGACACCCGAGCCGGTGGCAGACCACTAAGGCCACTCACCGCTCCACCTCCTCCATGCTGGGGATCTGTCTCGTCTGTGCCTGTCGCTCCGTCTGCAGCTGACTGTATTTCTCCTGAAAACAAACCCACATGGTTGAAATGAAATTCCGTATCGAAAGAATCTGATGGGCATCTGCGAGATTCTCCACATCCCTTGAAACCAGCTCTAAGCCGGGCAGGGACCACAGTGCGACCCAACAGCTGTGCGCGCCCGCCTCCCGCGGCTGCTGCAGCCGGCGCGGTGCACTGCGCCCGGCCGTCAGTGAGGCGGCCGGCGGCCGTCTCTGACCTGCAGGTCCCGCTGCTCCTGCTGCAGCCGGTCCCGCTCGGCCTCGCGCTCCCGGGCCGCGCTGTCCATCAACTGCTGCACCTGGACCAGCTCCTGGCGCAGCAGGGCCGCGTCGTCGGTGCTGTTCCTGCAACAGGGCGGCGTCAGGCGGTGCAGCGGCAGGGCTGGCCCTGCGGCGGACGCGCCGCGACGCTGCCGCGCAGCTCACACCGCAGCCAGCGGACGCAAGACAGACCTCAACCCCGCCCCCTCCATTATCAAAAACCGTTACGACACACAAACGCACTTTTTCCTGCGCTGAGAATACCGGTCATGTTCCTGTGTATGGCACAGCGCAAATGAGAGCATAGAGCGTGGCGTAAACAGTGGCTCCAGGACAACGGAGCGTGCCGTAGGGGGCACCTCCGCGTGGCGGGTGCCGAGCGCCTTACTTGAGTTGGAGCTGCGCCTCCAGCATGTCCACCCGGCCCTGGGCGTCATCGGCGGCGGCGCTGAGCGCCGCCTTCTCGGCCGCGTAGCTCCCGGCCTGCCGACGTGCCGGGCGACAGGTCAAAAGGTGCAGCTAAGGTCAGGTCAGGTCAGGTCAGCGACTGTGCTATCAGACCAGGCCACGGCGAGAGCGTCATGTCACTATGAACGTGACGTGACCGACGCCGTGACCAGGACGGAACTTGGACGTTCGAGACCCCGACTTGGATGACTTGGATTTGTCAAGTTTTGGACCTGATTTGCCTTGGTTGTACATGTGCTGTCACGTGTACGACCAAGCCAAGTTCAGAACTGCCATCAGATCACACTAGACCAAAGACTTGAGGATCACTTACGACTAAGGACTGTACGGACTGTGCACTATGATCGGTCCACAGGGACAAATCAGGGACTGTAGGACCATGTCACGACAAAGACGGTGAGGATTGCAACGAGTTCGCAGCAGGTGGGACAGCCATGATACAATATAATGCACATACAGCAGAATTGGTGTCTGGCGGCAATGGAACAACACAAAGAAATGTGTGCAAAACACATTCATTGTGCCGTGCATGCATTGATGAGGCAAAACTAGACCAAGCATCGACATAAAGCTGAGAGCTCCAGCATGTCAGGAAACGTCACCCAAACCACTTGGGGCTAAATCCAAACGATCCACTCAACGAGCTTTACGTAACCATCACCCATCTCAAACGATTATGCTTTGCAAGCTGACAACGTTGGAGAGCGATAATAGATCGCGGAACACACTGAAAATATGCACATTTTGCGAACCTCGGCCAGGAGATATGATTTTCCAGAGCCTTCACAACACCTCGTGGTAATGACTGGGGGCACAGCGCGTGAAATCTATACAATTAAGCAAAGCAATGCCGTCCATTCCCGGGCCTCCTGCTCTCCTTCCATTCCCTTCACCTTCTCCTGCAGCGTCTTGTAGTCCTGCTTCAGAGCTGTACTGCTCTCCAGCGCCTCCGTCAGCTGCTTCCGCAGCAACATCACCTCGGAGGTGACCAGCGCCTGCCGACAGGCGGGCTCCAGGCTCGGCGCGGCCCAGCGGCGGCACTCATCGCCGGGGATACCGTGCCAACAGTGCTGACGCGGCACCGGCCGTGGCGAACAAAACGCTCTACCTCCGGGGGAGAGGGGGGTGATGGTGGATGGGAGATAAGACTATATCAGGGTAATGAAAAGGAAGGGACCATGGGGAGGCAGTGAAGATCATATACGGGTCATCGAGTGTCATGAATTATCAAATCTTTATAACTTCGACAGTTGGAAAACACTCCACTTAAGCCGTTACTCCGTGCTCCCCCGGCAGCCCGTCAGCAGCTGTACTGGGGCTGGGTACGACCCCACACGGCCCGCGAGGCTGACTCGGACGGCCGCCCGCTCACCTTGCTCTCCTGCAGCGCCTTGATCTGCTCCTGGTACAACATCGTCTCCTCGGACTGGGTCGCCTCCACCAGCTGCTGCAGCCGGGCCACCTCCCGCTTCAGCTCCTCACTGTACCAGCGCTCCTCCTGGGGGCAGCGGCGGCACGGTCCCAAAGCTCTCACCCGCTGCTGCAGCCGAACCGCCTCCCGAAGGCCACCTCAGAAGTCCATTACGAGCGCTAAATTCAGAGAATCTCAGACTGCCAACTAGCGAGATCCACAGGCCCATCGCAACGCTCGGCGGATGTTAGGGGCCGCCGCCGGCAGTCTATCGCCGGGCGCCGCGGCGCCGGACTCACCCTCAGCGTGGTGTTGACATCGGTCAGCTCGTGCTGCAGCACCTCGACGTCGTCCGACTGCGGCAGCGGCGGGTGGTTCCTGGCGAAGTGCTGCTCCAGCTCCGCCGACGAGGTCAGCCGAGCCTTGCAGACCGGGCACAGGTAGGTGGCGGCTGCGGCGGTCACACGTGGCGTGGTCAGTGGCGCTCGTTCGGCCGCAGCCAGCGCCAGCCAGGCGCGACGGCGAGCGGAGAGGGCCCTTTACGACACGGCTGCAACTATAAACTGACACGCGGTGATCCACTGACGAAACAGCTTTGAAACCACCCAGCATAAAGCTATCCGAGTCATGAGCAAGACGAATCTATTAGCATCAGTATGTGAATTTCAGAAAGCCACTGCCGACATTGTCATTTCAACGTCATAACTTAAGGTTTGACCGTTTCCAACAACCCTTCAGACCGCTCCCTCAGATTGTACCGAGCCTTCCAAATGGTCGACTAAAGACACATGGTCGGGCGCCACCACCCAACGACCAATCCAAACCGTATTTGTGCGGCGGCCAGCCGTGACCCCCGGCCAGCCGGTCAGCCGGACGTACAGGGGTCGATGTGCGCCGTCTGGTCATGTTGCTGCAGCTGTTCCGGAGTGGCGAAGCCCTTCATGCAGGTGGGGCAGAGGAAGCCTTCGGCACCGCCGACAGCGGCCGAGGCATCTTCTGCTGAGGAGACCGACGCCGTCCGGCCACCCTCCACCTGGCAACAGCGGGCCACATCTGACGCCTTCCACATGGCAACAGCGGGCCACGTCTGACGCCTTCCACCTGGCAACAGCAGGCCACATCTGACGCCCTCCATATGGCAACAGCGGGCCACAACTGACACCCTTCAGCCCTCCATCCTCCCGAAGTGTGAGCCTTGTCACTTGCAGTCAAAATGATACCGATTCTACACGCGATGCGTATGTCGTAGAGCATGAACAGCTATCTACACGAAGAGATGGATGGGGCAAACAGTCCGAGTCGTTCAACAATAAAAACGACTTTTGCCAAAAAGCATGTGTCGACAGAACGCCTGGAATGAATTAAAGTGAATGTTCTGTGCCCATCCGTGACGCTCAAAAGCCAGGGAAGCATTCAGTGTCCCGTGGGAAAGCAGCACAAGGGCGCACGTTTCAGATGAATTTGGTGGCTATGGACTTGTTGAAATTATCCCGTTTGAGTTTGCAACATAACGTCCACAGAGCGCGAGTCGTGCAGTTAGTATAAAACCGCACGACAAACCAGCTATTTGAAATGATGAAATGATAAATGGTGAATGACGATAAAATTAACGACGATGAATAAAAAAACGGGGGCAGCACACCAAAGCAGACAGCGATTTGCCTATACAGTAGGTTATCACGTTACGCAAGCAGTCATAGCGTTACACCGGCTCCCTGTGTGCTAGTTGCCATCGTCTTTCGTGTTTGAGGGGTAAAGAAATCAAACAAAGACAATGCAATCTAACTTGTATTGAATGTGTCGAACATTAACTTCGTATACAAACAGCACCAATTCGTACATACAATTACTACAGCGGGTAAAGGTAAATACGTCGCATCCATTAGGTGAGCTGCATCTAAGAAACATTGTAGACAGCAGTGCTAAGGAGATGTGCCTATTTCATTAACTCTGTGGTCGGCATGGACGGACACGTTTTCCAACTGCGCAAGGCATAAAGCACGCAACACAACAATGCTTGAAACGTATTGTCACATGATCGAACGGGCGTCATGGCCGTGTGCACAACACCGTAATCACCGATTAACAGCTGATGCACAAGATCAGCGAGCACTTCACCCAGATCACGATGCTTTCGTTGCTCTCCATGCTCAGGACGAGCGCGCCTCCGTGATCGCGGTTTCCTCCGCCGGCCGGCGCACCGTCGGCGGCCGCTCACCCCCAGAAGTCGTCATCGTCGCCGCCGGAGTCGGCACCGATCGCCGCCGAGATGGACTCGGACGGCGACCGGCCGGGCCCCGACGAGCCGGCCTCCGAGCGCCGCCGACCGGAGTCGGCCGAGCCGGATCGCGCCGCCGCCGGGGGCGAGGCGCCGCCGGACCCGGCCGTCTCCTCCGGCGGCGGCGTCTCGCTCATCGGCAGCGGGAACGCCCCGGCGCCGGCCGCCTCCACCGCAGTACCCCAGCGACGAGCGGAACAGCGCGCCGCTGCGCTCTGCCGAGCCGCTGTCGCTGCCGCCGGACGGCCGCAGCGGCGTCACCACCGGCGGTGAGCGGCGGCTGGTGACATCATCGGGTGAGCGGCGATTGGTGATGTCATCATTGGGTGAGCGGCGACTGACAACGTCATCATCGGGTGAGCGCCGACTGACAACTTCATCATCGGCTGCGCGGCGACTGATAACCTCATCATCGGGAGAGCGGCGGCTGATGACGTCATCATCGGGTGAGCGGCGGCTGGCGACGTCGCCGGCAGAGCGACCGTGTGTGATGTCATAATCGGGAGACCGGGGCTTGCTGATCTCATCCCGTTGCCGTTGTCTGTCGTCATCAGGCGGGCGTCGACTGACGTCACCGTCCGTATGTGTCTGTTCGGCGGCTGGCGCCTGCTCCGCCGACGCCGCGGACCGCTGAGCGGCCGGTCTCCACAGGGCCTCCAGGTCGACGGCCGGAGGAGCCGGAGACGGACCGGCGGACCGCGCCGTATCATCTGCGTCCGCCGGGCTGTCCGGACCGGGCGGCCGCTCCTGCTGCACGCCCGGCCATTGCTGCTCGTTGACGCCGGCCGCCTCACTATTGACGTCCACGCTGTCTTGTGATTCGGCGCCTGCAGGCGGGAGAGGGCCCGCACCACTTCTCCACTGCGAGTCCAAATCTACGCTGGGTTTCCAGTGCGAGTCCAGATCCACGGCCGGGTTTGGCTCCGATGTTTGATCCGTGGGCAGAGGCTGGGAGTTAGTCTTGTCATCGCCGGTAGAAAACCCCAACTGTGGACTCGCGTCAGAGCGAGCCTGCTGCTCCTCAACCTGACCCTGCCCAGTTGCCGCGGGACCGTCACGCGCGCTTGCCTCTGCCCTTGCATGGTCCCGTCGCTCCTGCAGCTTCGCGGAGCTCTTCCACTGCGTGTCCAAGTCCAGCTGGACTCCCAGCTGTCCATCAGCCCTGTCAGAGTCAAATGAGACCGGTCTGTCCGCCGGCCTCTGCCAGCTCGCCACCTGCGCCGGTGACCCGGTCACCTCCGGGTTCGTTCCCCGACGGTCACCCGGCCCTGTCCAGCTAACGGCCGCGTCCGTCTGGTGCTGGGCGGTCGGCGGCAGCCGGGGTGGGGCCGAGGCGGCTTCGCTCTCGCTCTCCGGGTCCGGAGCGAGCAGGCTGAAGAGCCGCGATCCGGCCGGGCGGCCCCGATCCGTCGCCGGACGCGCGCTCTGGGACGAGCCGAGCGCGTTCGACCACCGCTCTGCACTCCCGACCGGCACCGGCGGCCGGCCGGAGCGCGACGGCGCCTCCGACACGTCCCTGACGGGTCGGACGGGCAGCGCAGCGCGGACCGCCGACTGAAGGTCTCGACCCAGCGGCGCGCCCACCCACCAGTCCCGGCCGGCCGGCGCGCCGATCTTCCGGTCCTGGCCAGTCAGCGCGCCGCCGCTCCGGTTCTCGGCCGCCCCGGGACTGAGCGCGGCCGCCAGGCGGCTCCGCCGGAGCACCTCCTCGATCCGAGCGTCGCGCGAGGCGGCGGCGCCAGGGTCGGCCGGCTCGGACCAGGTGCGCGGGTGTCCGGCCGGCCTGCCGCCGGCCGCCACACCTGCCGGCGAGAGCGTGGTGGGCCGCGGCTGCGGCGACGGCGGCGTCACGCGCTCTTCGCCGCCAAACAGCTGGCGCCGCACGCCGCCTAGCGCCCGCTCCAGCTCCTCCTGCTGCCGGCCGGCCTGGTAGGCACGGAACTGGCGTGCCAGCCGGCCGGCCTGCGCCGACAGTGCGCCCAGTCGGCCACGGGTGTCGGCAAGCAGGTTATCCGTGTCGACCAGCGGCACTGGCGCCGCCGCCGGAGCAGGCATTGGCGCCGGCTCCGGCGGCGGCGGCGGCGGCGCTAGAGGGTGCGGACAGGTGGCCAGTGGCCGCTCGGCCGCGCCACCGCTCTCCAGCAGGCGCGCCTGCTGTGACGCCAGCTGTAGCGCGCGCATCTGCACTTCCAGCTCCGCCGAGCGCTCCGCCAGGCTCTCCAGCACGACGCGCTGCCGCTCCAGTGCCACGCGGTAGCGTGTGTTCTCTTCGAGCAGGGCGGGCGCGCGGCCTGCGCAGCACACAGCCGCCGGCTCAGGCGACCCGATGTGACCGGCCGCTGCCGCCGCCGCCGCCCGCGGCCGCTCCGGAGAGGAGACCTGCGAGCCGGAGCGACTGGCCGATAGGCTGGTCTCCAGCTGCGCCACGCGCCGCTCCAGCTCCGCCATGAGCCGCTCCCTGGCGGCGGCGGGCGGCCGCACGCTGGCCCGGCCGGCGTCACCGCCGCTGTGGCTCGCCTCCCGTCCCGACACTGCCACTGGCCGCAGGTCTGTCCCGGCGGCGCGGAGGCGGTCGGGCTGAATCTGGCGGCTAGGCGGACGGTCCGGCGAGGCGAGGTGTGAAGGGATCACAAGGCGACGTGGTGTCGCCACGGAGTGATAGTGGAACGGCTCCTCGCCGTTTTCGGCGTCGAACGTCACGTTCAATTTCGCGCGGTGTGGCAAAGTAGGTTCTGTCTGACTGGCGGTAGTGACGGCAAAATCGGTCTGCGACATCTTGTCGCAAGCTGCCTTCTCTGGAGAAAGACGATGTGTTTGAAACGAATGGTTTGCAAGAGAATCATTCAACAGAAGTTCTTTCTCTTTGATGCTCCGATCCCGGGTATGAAGGGTGTTCTTATACTGCTCCAAACGCTGCCTCTCCAAGTCCAAGCCGGCAATAAGCCCATCTCTTTCCACGTCTAGCCGCCTCTTGGCTGATTCCAACTCCATCTCGTATTTCTCCTGCATCTCCTGACGGAGCATTTCCAGCTTGCTCTTGTATCGCTGGTATTCGCGTTTCTGTATCTTCTTCAGCTCGTCTTTCCTGAATCTGTCGACTTCTTGAGCCACTCGCTCCTGGGCCTTCCGGTCGGCGCGGCGCCGGTACTGCAGCAGGCCCAGCTCCAGGCTGCCGGCCTGGCGGCACTCGCCGTCAGCGGGTGCTGCCGGCTCAGCGGGCGCTGTCGGCTCGGCCGGCGCGGCCGGTCGGCGCCGTCGCAAGAGCACCGTCACCAGCGGCTCGTCTCCCGCCCAGTACTCGTCACACACGGGCCGGCCGGCGGCGCCACCGCAGGCCGCCACCACGCGAGCCACCTCTGCGGCTGAGAGGCGCGCGTCGGGCGGCCCGGCCAGCGCCAGACCCGCCTCCGAGGTGAGCACAGCGCGCGCGAACCACAGTCCCAGGTGACGCAGCAGGTCGGCGGCGAGCAGCGCCAGCGGCGGCGCGTCGGCCGGCGCCGCGCACCCGCCGCCCACTAGGCCCACCAGCCGCTGGCGCAAGAAGGCGCGCAGCTCGCCGACCAGGCCCTGGTCGCGGCACCATCGGCGCAGCTCGTGGCACAGCTCGTCCGGCAGCCGGCCGTCCGCCGGCGCCGCCGCCATCACCGCCGCGCGCGCTCCTGAAAGGCGCACACCGCCCCTCAGTGCCCCGTCCGCGCGCCGCCCAGCCCGGCCCGGCGCTGGCCTGTTAGCATTGCACCAGACTGTTAGCATGGCACGCTGGTGCCCTTGGCACCCAGGCATTGTCCAGCAGGTGTGCTCATGGTTCTGCTGGCATGGTTTAGCACCAGGCAGGAGGCTGTTGTGCTGGCTGGTGATAGTTATCTTGAGCTGATGCAGCATGTAATACTTTCATGGCTCTTCCTTATTCTACAGTAATACTGTACAAGTAATTCCTGAATTAAATGAAAACTTAAATCATTGTAATAAGATCAGTTAATCCTGTTATATGTATTAAATTTTGTTCCACCAAAATGATGAAAAACATTAAGTGACCAAAAGCAACCACAAGGGTTAATCAATTTAAGAATGTATCATTACCTTGTTAGCATAAGCAGCAATTTAGCTAGTGAAATGCTGAAAACATTGTTTTTTCTATAATTTAGAGAGAATACTTTGCCAGACTCTGCACTGAAAGTCAAGTACAAAATATTTTCCTAAACCTTACTAACAGATATCATGCAGTAGCTGGTCTGTCCACTTAACTATTGAGGTGTACTTACATAATTTGAGCATGTAATTAAATTTTGATCTTGCTGATCTGAGATAACCTTTCATGAATTCTTTAAGAAAGAACTAAGCAAATAACAGCACTTGTAGCAAGTCTGCAATCATGTAATGTAGTTTGGTTGCTTGTTAACCATACAAGATCAAATAAGATAAAGGATTTGCCAATGCATGGATTTGCGGTATTGCCACCACTTCTAATGAACCCTGGGGATGCCTGCAAATGACTGGCCTAATGATGCACCTTCATCACTGGCTTGGTTAATATTTGAACAAGGATGAATTACTAAAATTATATGCATTGCCATTGCCAGCCTGACATCATACATGGGCCTGCAAACTTTTACCAAATCATTCTTTAGGAATTCACACATTTCCACAAAATAGAACATTGCATAGGTTAAAACAGCATGTGGTGCTCCAATGGCATCAGTAGCCACAAGGTCTACCAATGCATTCAAGAGGTTTACCACAATGTCCAGAAAACAATGCCACGAGGTCTACTAATGCATATAGGCTGAGCTTGCACAACTTGGCATTGTCAGCAGAATGCAGCTTGTATGTCTTGGACTACTGACACATGGCATAGTTTAAACTTATGTACCATGAATTATATATAACATCCAGAATAATTACACAAACAGAATCTGATAATTCAGCATATAAGTATATTAAGCCTGCATGGCTTATTGAGAATATTGTTGGTAATGCCAACATCAAGCCTTTTTTACTGTACAGACTATCCAACATGCAAGGATTTCCATAGTGACATTGCATGATCTTGTATTTCCTTGAAGCAGGTAAGTGGACAGGGCAAAGCAACAAGAGTTGCAGGGACTAAAATACATTTCTAAATATTTGAAAAAGCCTGGCCATTGCCACTCTTTCCTGTCAACTTCTCCACTGTCAATGGGGCCATATCCACAAATTAAGGTAGACACCAACAAAACCCATTAAAAAGATCGTGCTGTTTCATGCATTAGGAATTGACTTCTCCAAGCACCTTGTAAATGTTCTCTGAAGCATGCAGACCAACATGACTAAATGCTGGTGGATTAAGTGGGTGGTACATACCCGATCTGTGATGTTCTTCACAATATTCTTTATATTAAACATTCTAAATTAATCTGCTTTCTCTGCTGAATATATCCACTGTACTGTCAACTCTTGCTGGGAGCCACAGGCAGTACCAGGCGTAGTGGATGCTGGGCAGGTCACCAGTCATGCAGCTGCACAAACTCAGCACCTCATCCTGTTCACTGCAACACAAAATTGTGAGTAGATAAATCATCCCACTCAGGCCGGAGACCAGAGCCGGCCAATCGCCTACAGCCTAACGATGCCCAAACTGAGCGATGCTGCACGTTGGGTAGCCTCGCTTGCACCACTGACCGGAGATAAATTTCATTTCGTTTTGATGCTACGTAGATGGGTGGGCATTGTGCCTGTATTCGAAGAGGCTGGGAACTTTTCCAAATTTTATAGAATGTTCTTCGTCTCAATTTATTTACGGTCCATTTACCTGCCAGCGATCCGCTCCACCCATCACACTATACACATTCGTATCCATTCACACTAAACAAGTGTGTGAGCGTTTGCCAAAGACGCTATTTACGTTTATATCAAGGCTGACAAATGGCGAAAACGCTTCCATATCTAAATGTGTCACTTGAGTATTTTTTTTAATGTTCTATGGCCTGCGCAGTTTCCACATAAGTACTAACAGGAAATGTGACAAATTTCGACATTTGGGAGAACCCTCGTTGGCTTATGTCCATAGATTGAGCACATCGAGTCCATGAAACAGGTTTGTTTTCAAGGTCAAACAAAATTGATTTCAAATTGTAAACATCTAGTTATCAATTGCTACGCGCTAGTTTAAAAACAACAAAAGCGCAGAAAGAAGGGTAAACACGGGATTCCATCCTACACGTTTTATCCTGTAATCTAAATATTAGAGTGGTAAAGCATAGACTGGCTATCGTCTATATTCACGAACAATTTTTGGGACCAGCATTTGGCCTGACTTACCGGAAAGCTACTAGATTCCGTTTCTCGGCAATCATGGCGCTAACACATACAACCAGAATATCGTCAGGATATGACGGTTGATTACCTACCGAAGCCGACCGGAGGGAGGAGAATTGCGGGAGGGGGAGAAGAGGGCGGTTCACACGGTCCCATTCATATTGAATTGGCTTACAACGTATTATCTACTTTATGGTTACAGAAGCGCGGAAACTTTGATGCTTCAGCGGTAGGTTTCTGGTGAAGTGTGCTGCTGCCTTGAAACTGATGTGGGAAATGTCCTCGTTGCACCCGTAATTACGGGTTCGTCAAACTCATGCATGGTTGCTCAAGTGGAACATTACTCAGGGCAGGCAGTGAACAGAACTGCGAGGAGCACTATGCAGCGGTTTGAGAATTTCAGAGTCTTTAAGGTGATTAGGCTGCAGTGAGGCCTTGGAGCATTTTTAATGTGATGTCCTATTCCCTGTCAGTGATGGGGATTTTGGAGTGTTATGGGGTTCCTTGCCATTTAATAAAATGGTTCAGCCATTTTCTATGAGCTGTTGAGTGGAACCATTAGTTTACTGTGCTCTGAATATGACTTATACCCGTGTTACATCTGTGTGATCCAACTATCAATTGTTTTGTAGTCAATTTCAACAGCACAGGGCATCCCTTAGATGTAGAGTGACATGAAGAGGTGTACAGCATTGCCTCCAAGCTGGCTGGCAGGGATATGCCTAGTTATAAATTTTTGGTTTTCTGGTTCCAAATTTCACTTCTGGATGGTGAGGTTCTGGATCCTGCTGGTAACTGCTTCTTTTATAAATGCAAGGTTCTGGTTTTTGATGCCTTAAGTTCTAATGTAAATGGATGCTAGGCCCTGGTTCCTGGTTTCCACTGCTTCCTGTTTAAAGATGGGCCTGATTCCTGGCTAGCACTGACTTGCCATGAATGCTAGACTAGCAGATCCTTTTTTCACTTTTTTCACTCACCATACTCTAAATTGCGGTTTCTAGCTCAAATGGGCTTAGATTTAAATACCAGTACATGTTAAAATTTGTCAGTTATCTTTTGATGGATATTTTTACTTGAAAAAGAAGATATCCTTGTCCATTCTGTAGGTAGATACTTATGAAACCTGTATAAGTGTGTGTGTGCATCATGCATACACTTTTTTGTAGCCAAGATATTGCAGGTAAGATCACAGTTCTTGTTGGTGTCCTTAACTCCATACTGGATCTTGAGTCTTGCTTGAGCATGGGCATAAATGTAGGCTGAATGCTGGTCCTTGACAAATCTCTAGAAGCATTCCAAGCTGGATACAGATTGATATTCTAGTCGAATGCAGTAGAGAAATATTTTTTTAGCTATCATTTGCCAAATTAATTGGCATATATCTATTCAGAAGGTTTATAAGCTAAGTGGCATGCATCTCTAGAAGAAAAATTGGAGCACCACTAGTCTGCCCGTGCTGTGCCTTAGATGCATAGGCCCCTTGTAATAGGTTATAATAATAAAGTATAAGATATGTGCATTGAAAGTTACAGGGATGTATAGATTTGCTTCATATTATCATATCCCAGCCCTGGATTTGCTGTCTATTGTCCCTCCCATCATTCAGATGAGCCAGTCACCATTGAGCCAGATAGAGGTTAACCCAGCATTCAGATCCCTCAGGCTCCGGCAATCAGGCTGGGCAGGTCAGATGTCAAGGCTGGGGTCAAGGGCAGCAGATTAGCAGTGGCTGATGTGTGGGTTCAGTGGCTGATTGGGAGCTGGAGGTTTGGGCATATAATTTGTTTACATCCTGCATATTCTACAGGATAAATTTTGCTATGCAGGACTTAGTGCTGGTATGTGCAAGCAGTGTTCCCTTTCACATTCAACCACATCATTCCAGGCATGGGTATGAACCTTCTGTGGCTGCTAACAAAGAAGAAGTAGAGAATCACCTTTTGGGGTATTTCTGATTAGCTGCAGTCTAGGCTGTGACATTTGGCCCTTAGCTCTCTAGAATACCAGACCTCAGCCAGGCAACTTGATATGTACCTATTTAGTGGTATGTGATGTTCATTCACCACCTTGTTTGCTGTAAAAATCTGCTTGAGAGCAAATTGGCTAGAATGGCTCAAATCTACCTTACAGTTCACTGTGATGACCAACAGAAGCATGGTTAAATAAGTGTTGTAATGTGCAGTAGTGTAACCCTCCTTATGTGGGCAGATACTCCACACACAACAGCAGAGTAGAGCATTTCACTGTTAATTGCTAGCACTTGCACCAAAGCACTGCAAACTTCAAGCAAACCACCACATGCAATAGGAACTTTGCTGGTTTTACAGTTTCTTGGGCTGGACATTGTGTGCTGCAGATGTATAGTGTACATACCAAGCTGCCTACAAATGCCAGTGGTACGCAAGTTATGAGATTTAAGTTGCATTATAGCATGCAACTACTGTTAGTAACTGGTTTGATGATATATGGGCAATGATGTATCAATCTCTGCCAAAGGATGCTTAATGGTTAAAAGATTCTCACATATTACAATGACATTTTCCCCCAAGATCAGCAAAAAACTGTTTCTAGATGGATGTGGTCTGAATAAACATTGTACTTTTCTGGTCCATTCTTTACCAGTACTATGGTTCTCACATTTTATCAGGTTTTTCTGTAGGTCTTCAAATAACTGCTACTGCCTGATTATGTTTTTTATAATTGTTTTCCTTAGTTCACATGGCCACTCCTTTCCTTGTTCAATTAATTGGGGCTTACATTAGACTTGTAATTTGCTTCCTAGATGATTCTATCAAGCATCCGCACCAACCGAACAACTTCTGCAAAGGTTGGAAGCTGTCCTGCCTGTCCCTTCTCAAACCGCGCATATAAATGTGACAGAGCTTGGAGGTGTTTGCTTATCCGAAACTCTTGACTCATTGCATTGGCAGAAAAACCGTCCTCCCTTCCCACTGCCCATGCTTTAAATCTCAAGCATAACAAACAGCATTGTTGTTTGGCTCAGGGTCGCACAGAAAGGGTGCCTTGAGCTCTTTCAGCTGACACAATCTCTGGTTGCCCAGTTCTAGTTCTAGTTTAAACGAGCAAGCTCATCACATCCATAGGAATCATCGCCACCATCGCTCTGATCTACTCACTCAGTGCGCTGTTGGCCGCCTTGCGACAGATGCTGGGGCTGTGCGGCTGTTTCCGAGCCCGGGCCGAGGAGGTGCACGAGCTCGACTACCGGCACACTTCACTGCGCGACGTGCCCGGGAGGTGTTCACTTTCGAGCGCACTCTCGAGGAGCTGTACCTCGACTCCAACCAGGTACGCACCCATGGTGCCCGCCCGTCAGCCCGTCAGTGCGTGCGCAAT